AGTACCTCAGTTAGGCCATGGTCTCTTCCTTCCAGATAATTTCCAATTTATATGTCATCCTGCCAACCTACACTGTATAGCCTTGATACTGAAAAGTTGTTAAATAACCCATGGAGAAAGTCACAACTTTACCACCTGCCCTTACTACCATCATTCCTTTATAATCCCTTTATCCTGTCCAGTCTGTTGACATTCTCTTCCCATTCCTTCTCCATCTCCTTTTTATTAAAAAAGTACATGTAATTTAAAGGTTTTTATAATTATAGAACATGTAAATATGTTGTCACATGTTGGGTGTATAACGTGACAAGTAACTTCACACCTTACTGGATATAGTGAATTTTATTTCACATTCGCTCTTACAAACACACAATTTACAGATCCACAATTACTGACATTGGCAGTATCACAAATACTGTTCTGCAATTATGCCAGAATACAATTAACTGGTGACTGACTCGCAACTAGAGAACTCGAGAACTAACTGCTGGCTAACTCGGAACTGACTGCGAATAGTCTTCGCTGCCCCTTATTTAGCCTCGTTCCAGACAACACAGAAAACAGCCATGTAATAGGCACCACTGTTGTCTGGCGCCGTGTTGCTATCAACGCTGTCGGGAGTTGTTTCCTGCTGTGTAGCAACGGCGGCATCCCGTGTTACGTCACAGCTGGCGGGGGCGGGGGGGGGCGTCATCCATAGCGCAACACGTCACACTATTTATGTGTTATCAGATGATGCATCATGTCTGGCAATTAACACCATCTGTCAGATGCAGAGAGTACTATCATGACTTGCTTTTACATAGAAAGTAGATCATGGTATGTTTATAGAGTTACAGCAGTGTCACTTTTTCACTATCATATTTATTTAATGTTTCCTGATCCATGTGATTGGTTTATTCCAGTCTTTTCTGTTGTGGTTATTCACTGGTTGATCTGTATTGTCTTGTACTGGGTTTCCATTCCATAAGCCTCAAGTTTAAGACTGGCTGAACTGAGTGTAGATTTTTCCATATGCTTTTCCCTTTCATCACCTTTGATGATGGCTTGTAATTTTATGCTTTTACTTCCCCTGTGTTTGCTACATGTTCAACAGGATTCTGTCAACATTCTGTTGCAGTATCTCTGGCAGCAAGGAAGCAGTCAACTTGGACTATATGACACATTTGCGAGATGCAATATCTGGGCCCCTAATTAAAGATGGCGTAGATGGAGTTCCAGCTACACTTCATGTCATGCAGGACTACTATCTGCTGAGAGAAGACATCGACAGTTTGATGGAACTCAGCTTGTGGCCCAATCAGAAAGACCCAATGTCCCTTGTCGACAGCAAGGTAATAGAACTCATTGTAAAACAGCAGTTCTACAGTGATAACCTTTCAAAGCCCCAGATTTGCTTACATATTTAAAAATTCAGTTCCTGCATTATGAAAAACACCATGTCTACATTAAAATGACTGACTTGTTAACCCTTGAACGCTGTGATGCCTACAGAGCACACCAGCAGTTTCTGTCACATGTCGCCAGAAAAGTTCTGTACCTTACCAGTTGGTGCACTGTATTACCGTACAAACCTGTCTCCACCTTGGAGAATTCTTATGAATTAAATATGTTAGATCGACAGTGTGTGCTATCCTTGCATGTAGATCGAAGCGAAAGTCAATTCTCTTGGGGCTTTTGAAGTATTATACATGGTCCAGCAAGTGCTGCTTTTACATAGGTATTTGTAACCGTGAGAAACAACTTGATCTGTTACAAATGATAAAACTGTGTGTGACTGTTGAAGCCTTTACTACTTCACTTCTTAGCACCCTAACATGTTTCGGTCCCTATAGACCATCATCGGAGGGAACATCAATACTTTTAGAAACTATTATTACATTGGGTATTTTGATTTTTAAAATACATCAATATACAATATTTCTAAAGGTATTGATGTTCCCTCCGATGATGGTCTATAGGGACCGAAACATGTTAGGGTGCTAAGAAGTGAAGTAGTAGAGGCTTCAACAGTCACACTAGACAGAATAGTTTTATCATTTGTAATATTGTTAGTGTGAGGGACCAGAATGAAACAAATCAAACTTGATCTGTGTTATGACTGCCATGTAGGAAATGATAATGCTTCTGTATATGAATGTGTCTATTGTACATTCCCTTTTGTTCTATAAATAGGCACCAAGCAGTTTGCTTGTAGCAGCCATGGCAAGCACATGATAGAAGTGGTTCTGTGTTGTGTGGTGATACAGTTGGGGAGTATTCACTTCTAAGCAAATCAGAACAAAATTTATCAAATTCAGAATTTGACACTGTAAATGAATTGGATGATCACACTCTGCAGTGATGGCAGTGCTGCTCAAGACCTCGTTTGGGAGGATATACAAAACATATTTCCGAAATCGTGGTCATTTTGAATCGTTTGTCAGTAAAGAAATAATCGAAATTATTGTTAAAAAACAAATAGACACACTGTGCAGTTCCTACATGGGTGTGAGCTATCAGTCAGGTCATCTGCCAGGACATGGAAACCTGTGACAGAGGGAGAAATTTATTTTGTTTTGGGTCTGTTTATGCTTATGGGACTTGGGACTCTGTGTGAAGTGTTTTTGCGACTGCCATACCCAGTTGAATTTTTAAGGTAATACGATACTATTATCATAATTCTTATAAGCTTACTGTCCCAGAAATATTCTGAAACACTGTGGATCATTACTCCAATACTATATACTTTTACAAATATAGTGTGTAAATTACAAAAAAAGAAAAAAAAAATGTTTTTTCCCAATTTTTTACACTTTAAGTAAAAGGCTGCACTTTCTGTTTTTAATTTTTAAATATTAAATAGTAGTGAGCAGTAATTAAATGTCCTTCATTATTGAAATATTCACTTTTTACAGTGAAAATCATACAACATGAATACACTTTGTGGTCAGAATGCAGAGATATTTAATGTTGAAGCGGGCAAGCTGACTATTCTTGTGGAATGATGATAATGTCACTGTATGGTCATGAAATGTGGTTATATTTATATCTTCAAAATCATGTAACTTTAGGTGAGTTGAGTTTTTTTAACGTAAAATGACATGACAGCCATAGATCTATATCTGTCTTTGTGTTTGATAGTGATAGCTATTGAACCACTGGAGTATTCATATGCGAAGACAACCTCCTAGTTGCCCCAGGCACTGTTGGATCCATTGTGTCGGTTGGGTTTTGTTAAGGGCCTAGACCAAGGGTCTCCAAACTATGGCCCGTGGGCCACATCCGGCCCGCGAAAGAATTGTGCAGAAATGTGCCAATTGAACTAATTTTCCAATGAGTACTGGTAAAAATAATACTTGTTCATAGATTTCAACTGATGTTTGTAATACCTCTCAACTATTAGTATTTTTTCGTGGTGTCGGCGATTGAATTGAATTGAATTGAATTGAATTGAATTGAATTTATTTACATTCTATAAATCCTAAGCAGGTTAGTACCTTTGGATACAGAACAAGTCAAAAGGTTACATACATAAGTACAGG